GTTGTTGTGATCCTTGTTCGGAAGGTTGTTGTTGAAATACTTGTCGGGCATCGGGTGGAAGTAAAGGAAGGACAACACCGACAAGTGTTTGTAATTGGCGGCTCAATCTTTCATTATCCTCCCTATAACTAAGCACTTGTTCCTTTAATTGCGTAATGTCACGAGAATCGGTAGATCCCGAATATGAGAGGGTATCTCCAGGCCTAAAATTATGGGCAAGTTCTCCAACACCATAGATCCGACCTTTTTTGTTGCCACCTGCAGTAAGAATCCAACTTTCGAGTCCTTATTCTCTCCTCCTCTATAGGATCTAATGGAGATGACTCGGTTTCAGCAACACGAGATGTTGCATCGGATCTAGCCTGAGAGTATCTTCTCCGAAATTCTTCCTATTAACATACAAATAAAAATTATGTACGTTATACAACACGTATCTATCATAACATATAAGAGAGTAATATTAAATAAGTTCTCAACTTACATGAGTTTTTCTAGACCTTTCATCAACAAATTCACCATTAACCTTTCGTATATGAGTCTGTTTGAAAACCTCATCAATATGTGCAGGACAACCCAACTCCTTTTCCTGCAAAAAAAAATAATTAATAACATATCATAAGAAATGAAAGAAAGAAAGAAATTTTTGTTATAATTGCATATTTACCATACGAATGGCATGATCATACATACTAATAGAACCACCTGTGTGTAAACTACCACCCATCTCAGAAGCTCGATTCTTTTGAGCTTGTGCACACTTTGCACGATAATGAGTTGAGTTCCACTTGTTCAACAGAGTCTTCCACACATCATCAAATATCCAATAGGGCTTCTTTTCTGTCCTTCTAGCCTCTTTGAACATTTCAGATAGCCTATGTGAGGCCTTTGAGTGAAAATTCTTTCGAATCCTGTCCTCATCTTCAGGTCTCCAGGTGACCTTTCTCTTTGCAAATGATTTACACAAACAAACAAATAATAATAATTGTGTCAATGAATGTAAGTAATAAAAAAAATTCATCAACCTAAATATAAGAAAACTTACTTTAAACCGCTGAAAGAATGTCTCTTTTTCAACATCGGTCATTGAACCCCATGTCAGCCATGGCTTAGAATATTGTTGCTTAATAGTCATTGTTATAGCTTGTGATGCAACCCGACATGGATGGAACCTTCGCCCAATAATTAAATTAAATAATAATCACAATTTCCTAATACTTGCAAATAATGGGAATAATATAATTTTAACTTAATTCTTACCCTAGACCATAAGGTGATATGATAGGAAGATTAGTGCCAAGTGGATGATCCTCCTCAATGTCTGATTGTGCGTCACCTTCCTGAATATGCACTTCTTGGTCTTCCCTAGCTAGTGTATGATGGACTCTAGAAGGCACTGATAATACTGAAGGCAATGTAGCTCCTGGGGAAGGTGCTGATGCAATGACAGGTGATGGACTAGGGTTGGGTGCATCAACTGGGGATGGGGCAGAAGTGGTTGTAGGTGCAATATTGTTTGTATGGGCATGTATATTCTCAGCACCTACAGATGAAGAAGGTATAGGTGTAGGAGCTATAGGTGGGGGAGGGACATTTATTTTAAGTATATAGCGTGGTTTTTTTCGTTTCGTTACTTTTATCCCCTTTTTGGGATGAGACATGGGAGGTTGGGGTGAGTCACACCCTCCTGATGACATATCTGTACATAAGAAATTTATATAGTCAATTATGCGAAGGAATAACGTCATACATAATATGCAATATAAAAATTAACTCATAAAGAACAATTTCTTAACTTCACGAATCCTATTCATCTTCATCTTCTCCCTCTCCCTCTTCCTCTTCCTCATCCTCTTCCTCGTCCTCGTCCTCTTCCTCGTCTTCTTCTTCTTCTTCTTCCTCTTCCTCTTCCTCTTCCTCTTCCTCTTCCTCTTCCTGGACTACTTCAACATCAACTTGTGAATGTTGCAATCCAAAAACACCTTCAACTTCAATAGCTTCATTTACATGGGACATTTCATCCATTTGGTAAGGAACATCATCTTCCATGTCTTGAGATTCTATGCGACCTCTAGGCTTTGTTTTTATAGCAACATACCACCCTTCTTTGTCCTTTCTTGATCTCGGATATGGGATATAATATACTTGTCTAACATTATGTGCCAAGATAAAAGGATCAAATGGTAAATATCTTCTATCTATGCGAATGTCTACAGTTCCATATTTAGGATCCACTAATGTACCTCTACGTGATGGATCAAACCATTCACAATAAAATACCACCACTTTCTTTGGGGAGGTTGAAGTATTATATTGCAACTCATATATGTGTTGAATGATGCCATAAAAATCATCTTCACCCCCTTCTGTAAGGCCTTTTACATGTACACCACTATTAATGGTTTTTTTCCCCTGAGTCCAAGCATGAGTGTGAAATTTGTATCCATTGACAAAGTATGTGTGCCATTTATTGACACATGTGAAAGGACCAATCGACAACTCCCTTAAGTGCATGTTTGTTACACTTAAAGGCTCACTATGAACCTACAAATGCAAAGAAGGTACAATCATATGTTCTTAAGCATATTGTAATAAACTAAGTTATTAATGTAACCATACATACTTGGTACTTAAACCATTGAGGAAAATGTCTATGTATGTGATTTGACACATTTGAGTCATTGGGTTGACCAGATTGCAAGAAGGAACTATCAAAAGATAGGAGAAGGATGGAGAACAATTTAATCAAATAAGAAAATGATATAATTATAAAATATAGTGTTTGAAATACTCACTCAAGGTATGACTTAATTTCGATGCAGTTGATCAAGACATGAACATGAGCCGAGTTCCACTCTTTTTGGGTTAACCAATGAATTGATGTCTTTCCTGAGTGACGACCAAGCACGTTAAAGACAGATAACCTTGATGGATCCCTTTCAATTTCAACTTGTATTTCATTTCTCTTATTCTGTGGTGATAGAATGAAGTTCTTGAAATAATGGGAACAAAAGTGAGTTGTCTCTCGATGCAAGTATGAGGCACAAATTGATCCTTCAACACGAGCTTTATTTTTTACTGATCGTTTAGAATCACCCATGAATCTATAAAATCAATGAAATGAGGATGGTATTAGCTCAATATTTAGTAAATCAAATTTTGTGCATAATCAATGATAGTCTTCTTACCTTTCAAATGGATACATCCATCTATATTGAACTGGTCCACCAAGTTTGGCTTCATACACAAGATGAATAGGTAAGTGCTCCATTGAATCAAAGAATGCAGGAGGAAATATTCTCTCCAACTTACAAAGAATTATTGGAATATTTTCTTCCATTTTAGCCAAGTCATGATGCCTCAATGTTCTAGAACACAAATCTTTAAAAAAATGGCTCAGTTCAGTAAGAGGGTTCCAAGCATGCACTGGTAATGAACTAAATGCAATAGGGAGTAAACACTCCATAAAAATATGACAATCGTGGCTCTTCATCCCATGCATCCTTCCCTTGTCTACATCGACACATCTTGCTAAGTTGGATGAATAACCATCAGGCATTCTAAGTTCCTTGATCCAATGATAAACTAACTTTGCTTCCTCTGCAGTTAAAGTATAATTTGCTTTTGGCTTTACCATCTTCCCATTAGCCTGCAACTTCAACTCTAAATCTGGTCTACAACAATACAAAGTTAGGTCCTTCCTTGCCTTATCATTATCTTTTGTCTTACCTTTGACATTCATGACAGTGTTGAATATATTGTCAAAGAAATTTTTCTCTATGTGCATAACATCAAGATTGTGCCTCAATAAATTATCCTTCCAATAGGGCAAATCCCAAAATATACTTCTTTTTGTCCAATTATGCCATTCCCCATAGCCTGGTAACTTGTTCATATGAGGGTAATCTATGACTTTGGGTACATCCATAATTATACTCCAAACTTGCTCAGATGTCAATGTACATGGTGGGTCACCAGTTTCAGTTTTCCCCTTTCTGAAAGCTTTTTTATTCCTTCTAAATACATGATTTTTGTGCAAGAACCTACGGTGTGAATCAAACCAACTATTTTTCCTCCCATTCTGCAATGTAAAGGCCTTTGTATCCCCCATGCAATGCGGGCAGGCTAGTTTACCTTGAGTCCCCCAACCTGACAACATACCATATGCAGGAAAATCATTAATAGTCCACATCAAACTAGCCCTCATTACAAAATTTTGTTTCCTTGAAATATCGTATGTTTCAATTCCTCTCCACAATTGCTTCAGATCATCTATCAAAGGTTGTAAATACACATCAATACATGACTTTGGATTACGTGGACCGAGAATGAGGCATGTCAAAAACATATAAGGTCTGGACATACATATTTCAGGAGGAAGATTATATGGGGTCATAATTACTGGCCAACAAGAATATGGGGTGGCAGATGCTTGAATATATGGATTAAATCCATCAGAACATAGACCTAGTCTTACATTACGTGGTTCAGCAGCAAAATCTGGATAAACTTGATCAAAATGTTTCCAAGCTTTACCATCAGATGGATGACACAACACACCTTCTGGTCTTTTATTGTCATAGTGCCATGTCATTTGTCCAGCCGTTTGCATGGATGCATACAACCTCTTTAACCTTGGAATTATAGGTAAATAGAGCATGCTCTTAATCGGAATTGGTTTATTTTTACGAGTTTCAAGTTTTGGGGCATGATACCTAGGCTTATGACAAAATTTACATTGTAGTAAAGCTCCATCATTCTTCCCGTAACCATTATCATAAAAAAGCATACAACCATTAACACAACAATCGATCCTTTTAGCCTCCAATCCCAACTTTGAAACTAACCTCTTCGCATCATAATAGCTTTTTGGTAAACTATCTTTGTTGGGTGTTACATCCAAAAGCATTTTTATAATGAAATTTAAAAGCGTGATCAGGAACATGCCAATTAGATTTGCAAGCTAACAATCTTACACATATGGACAATTTAGAGTCTAAAGCACCTTCAAACAAAGGTTTATTCGCTTCCAACAACAAATCATAAAATCTTTGAGCTTCTTCATTTGGAGGATCTTCCATGATATTTGGCTCTGATGGTTGAAATGTTTCATGTTGCCTAAGTGCGTCATACACCATGTCCTGCATTGCCATCAATGACTCATCTTCTGAAAAATGTAACTCACTACTTGAAGCATGTGTCCAATTTTTGTTAGCATGAGGCATTTGCTCACCGTGATCAACCCAAACATAATAATCAGGCATGAAACCATTTTTATAAAGGTGAAGTGTAACCATTTCCATTGGCAAGATCTTTGTACATTGACATTTATTGCATGGACATCTCGTTTGGACTTCATTTTGATAACAAACTTGTTGAGAAGCTTTCATGACAAACTCTTCAACACCATCAATAAAACTTTGTTTTAAACCACCTCTTTTACTATGACTTCGATCATACATCCAGTGGCGATTTTCATGAAATTGATCCATGTTCTACAAAATATGAACTTCAATGTTACACTAATTAAAATACCAACTTAGAATAGATTTTGACAAGTGTTTGGTAATGACCAGTATAATAACTTGAAGGCCATTCCATGTAGCCAACAAGGTTAGAATAACTAAATAACTAATCTCATCTTCATCCTGAATCAATGCAAACAAATTGAAAAAAATAATCAAACAAATCAATTCTTCCACTAGCCATGTTACATGTTACATTTACTACCCCCAATTCCTCACTCGAATACATGGCATGCATAGCCATCCAATCAATCATTATTTAAAATTCAATATAGAAAAGTCAAAGGTAATTACTTACCTACTAACAAAGATCTTGAAATTGGATGAGCAGCCACTTCCTTCCCTTTATCCTTCTATCTTTTGTGAAGCTTCAATATCAACAATCTCTGCATTTTAAAAAGCTCATGAACCAGTTAATATGTCATTAGATGATTCATAACATGGTATCAGATCATGAACCATTTAACAAAAAAACATAATGTGTTAAGATCTGATTGCAAGGTATGGAAAATGTGGGGATCATAAGGTTTTAGGCTCTTCAACTATAATAGCAGCCAGCTTTTGTAGTGTGGCTTCCCTAAGATGCTTATCAATTAGTATCAAAGCCTTCCACAATGTTTCTCAACTGTAACCGAGGAGTGGGGTGGTGATGCAGGCATTGTAGTGTTTAGAGCACAGCAAGCCCATGTGAGCCATGGGGTTGTGGAGCGTGGTGGGGATGTTGGGATCTAATTACAATTTTTCCTTTTACATTACTTCGCTAAGAGCATTGACAATAACAATTGAACACAAGAAACAAAAATACAAGTATCTAAAACCAGGTGTTTTCATTTCACACTCAATAGAGCCACATATCTTGAATTCAAGCTGGTGTGATTGGTGTGATCTCTTTCATAATAATATTGGGAGCAATAAATGTGAAGGTAGCATAATGTAGGGAATATAATGGATTGAGCAACGTTGAATACCCTGCCATAAATTGCAGAAAACACAGTGCAGTTTTGATAGAATTGAGATACATTTCAGCCAATCAGGTATTTTCTAGGAAAAGACAAATTGAGATGTAAAACAATATTCCTCGATGTACAGCCACATAAGGTCATACGCTTATATGAAGCAATCCATTTCAATTTGCCAAGCATTGTTTTAAATCCCTACTTGATAGATGCTCAGCCCATGCATGTGTACAACTTACAATGTAATTATTTGATTCTACTCCAGTGCTTGCCATAAATAAGATTATCCAGCAATGAGCATGTAAAGCATGATGACATAATTGATGAGTAAATGAATTAAAAACTAAAAACATCAAAGCTGTATTCACCAGACTATAGTTGAAGTAGAATCTAAATTTTTTTAATATCATCTCTAGTGATTTCCTTTTATTCATAGTTAATTTAGATTCCAATTAAAATCATCACAAGTCTTCCATAATAAAATCAAATCTACCCACATCATGATTCCTGAATTATAGTTATTCATGAATTTAGATTTGCATGATTATATCTTTATAGTTATTATGTTTCATGAATTTCTTTTATATCTTTAAATACGTATATTATACATATCCTATTCTACTTTTCTTATAATTAATGTATCATCGTATCGGATACTAATCGTATTTCATATTTGATGGATACTAATCGTATTTCATATTTGATAGTCGTATCGTATCCATGCATCATAGGATTTCAGCAATCCTTGACCTATCCTAAGATATAATAGATAATATTCCACAGAGAGTAGTCAATGATCCAGAAGTTGTATAATTTGAAAGTATCAGACTTAGAGGAACTTCTGTCAAACACAAATGCCACACAATAAACAGAACTTGAGTAACATACAACAAACTAAACAAGCAAGCAGTCACACAAGTCACTAACATAAACTATAGAGAATTAGCAACAAACTACAACCACAACCACTTATGAGGGTTCCATTCTCAAAATATGAAAAGAATCTCACCAGCAATGCTTTCTGCAGAAACAACACCGAGTTCATTCTTTGCAGTAGACAGAAAGTACGCCCGTGCATCTCCAATAGAAAGCTAACAAAAATAGATTTTCTTAGGTGCATTGAAGCAGCAACCAATTAAGTCAAGAACATTATGGAAAAAGAAAATCAACATTCTTGAATGAAGGTAACACTACCACAAGAGCTTTAACACATTGAAACTGAAATTACACAATGCACGGTAAAGTTGAACACAATGAAGAAAAAAAAAATCAATGCCATTAGTCACATTAAACACAATGCACAATTTTGATAGGGCCAATAAAAGAAATTTGTATGTTTTCACCAAAGTGCAGACAACAACACACATCAGACAAAACCCAACTCAAACCCTCAAAATAATATGGACCAACCCACTCAACACAGAAATCAACTAAACGAAACCATCAATACTCAATCCACCCAAAACACATCAAAATTAAACAAAACAGTCCAGAATCGAGAAAAGCGCATGCAAGAAATCATATCAAAGTAGAATAATATGAAACACTAGGCTTGACCCGTGGCCTCCCTGACTCACCTTTAGGTCACGACAAACTCAGTGGCCCCATGGGGGGTGGACTGGACCGAGGAGAAGCGGTGACTGCAGCAGGTGGTGACTGCAGCCGGCGTCGAGGTGATTCCCATTCCGGGTTACAACGATGCTGGTGATAGGGGGCGACAGGGGGTGTGGTGGCGTGGTGACCTGGAAGTTAATCTGCGCCTGGGTTTCGCGGTGGCCCGCTATGGGCAGTGATGCGCGGTGGTTTGGGGCAAAGGGAGAGATTCAACACAGGGTGAGGGAAGTGGAGCAGAGTGGAGACATTGGTGGTGAGGAGTGGGGGTTGGGACGCTCGATGGTGGTGGTTGTCGCGGATGACGACGAGCTTTGGTGGTGGCTGGATTAGGGTGAGGTCGCGACTGCGACTTGGCCTCGCGGTGGCTAGCAACAAATGCTAAGAGGTGCGTGAAGCACTTGGTGGATTTGATGAAGACATAGATATAACTTAGGTTGTGGGTGTGTAGATGATTAGGGTTTTAAGTTTAAGCACTTAATCTCTTGATAGGCCATTATATTTTGTGATAAGCACCTTAAAATGATGCATCTCATTGAAAATCATTTTTCTGCATGAAAAACTTACGTTTAAGTATTAAAAGAATTAACTAAGTTTTTTCTCAATCTGTTGAAAAGGATTTCCAATCTGTTAAAATCACTTAACATAATAAATGGTCATACATAATCGAAAATTCAATTGATTGATTCGCGGAATCAACAAGTTAAAATAACTCAATGAATTTTCAATATCAAGTTTCGCATTTTTCAATCTGTTGAAATGATTTTAAATCTGTTGAAATATTTTTCAAACTGTTGAAACAGAGAGACTATTTTTTAAACTAAGTATTTGCAGGAATTTAATCTGTTGAAATGATTTTCAATCGATTGAAACAGAGTGCTGTCATTTTTCATTAAGTTGTTTTAATCCATTAAAACTCGAATCAATCGATTAAATGGAACTTTAAATGAATTCAATCGATTGAATCGATGTCTTAATCGATTAAAAGGAACTTTAAATGAAATCAATCGATTGAATCGATCTTTTAATCGATTGAAATAATACTCTAATCGATCATAGTTTTGTTATAATCGATCATAACTCATTCTGATCGATCATAGTTTTATTCTGATCGATCATAACTCATTCTGATCGATCATAGTTTTATTCTGATCGATCATAACTCAGCCTAATCAATCATTCTTCTATTTTAATCGATCAGATTCTCTTCTAAACCTGCTTTACCGCTAACCAACTTATCTTTTGACTCTCTAAAACAGCTTTTAACAGATGAAATGTTCTGCTTTTTCTGATTTACTCTATATATACAGATTTGATCTATCTTTTGAATATACAATACAACACACTACTTGAGAAAACTTGTGAAATCAATCTGTGAAACTTTCATACGTGACTTTCTCGCATTCAAGAATCTTTTTCATATCATAAGGTGCTCGTGATCATAATTGTGGTCATTCAAAGAGAGAAAGTGCTCGATAGAATTGGTTCTGACAATTAGAAACTTCAAGTCCAGGTTTATTCTTTTCATATTCTTTTGTAAAGTTTGATTGTGCAGGTTGGATTGTAATCTGCACTTGGTACAAGAATCGGATTTGGTTACTGGGTGGTTTTCAAGATTCTGTCTTGTGGGTTTTGCAAGATTGTTCTTGGGGTAGATTGGTGAGTATCTACTGGTTGTAATTTTTCACTTGGTATTAGTGAAACTTGACTGGTTTGTCAAGAACTGGATGTAGCTCTGGATTAGAGTGAACCAGTATAAACTTGTGTGTTAATATTCTTCTTTCATCTCTTTTAATTTCTGTCTTTAATTGTACTGTGTTTAAATCAAATTACCTTTGCAAAGATTGAATAAAGATAACTCATTCTTCCAAAAGAAAGTAAGATTTGCGAAAAAGTTTTAAAGTTCAATTCACCCCCCCTCTTGAACTCAACCATTAATTCTTTCAGTGCGACCAATGGCTCAACGAAGGGGACAATGACCTCAGAGTGGCGGTGCATCGTGAAGATGGTGGTGGAGGCCGCGAAAGGGGGGGTTCATGGTCGTGAGACGTGGTGGTTCCGGTGAGGGTGATTGGGCGAGAATCTGCAGGCAAAAAGCTGAGATGGGGTACGACCGCGGGGTGGTTCTGCGTTGGTGAGAAGCTTTGGTGAGTGAAGGTGGAATTAGGGCACGGGTATGGCTGTGGTGGTGATGGGGAAGAAGCCCGGTGGTGCAGAGAATAGGGTTGGGTATATGGGTTCAAATGAGGGTACCGTGTGGGGTGCTTAAGAGTGGGGAGGCTACAATCAAGGTTCTGGTGAAGGAGGTGGGCTACGGGTTATAGTGTAGGTTAGTGAAATTGAGGGAGAGGAAGGAAGGAGTTTGGAAGGTTGGGTGAGGCGCGGAGGAAGTGTGAAAATGAGGATCCGAGTGAGGGGGTTTATTTTTTTTTTTAATTACACATCCGTAGGTAAATGAGTAGGTAAAGTAGTAAAAGAACATTACCTACCTCCTATATCCGTAGGTAATGCATAATCATTTCATCCGTAGGTAAATTCCGTAGATAATAGATAATTTACATACGGATAAAATTCCATAGATAATATCCGTATGTAATATATATTTTACCTACAGATTTTTATCCGTAGATAATCAGCTTTTTTTTTGTAGTGTTAATTCTTAAGTCTTTCTCATTTTGAATTTGCTTGGCAAACTTCCTAAAGACCTTAAAAGCTTCACTTTTTAATGTTAAGAAAAATGTCCAAGTATATCTAGAAAAATCATCAACAATTACAAGAGCATAATAATTTCAACCAAAACTTTTTATCCTAGATGGACCAAATAAATCTAAATGTAATAGTTCTAAAGGTTTTGATGTGGAAATAACATTCTTAGATTTAAAGGATGATTTCACTTGTTTACCTTTTTGACATGCATCACATAATATATCTTTTTCAAATTTTAACTTAGGCAAACCAACAACTAAGTCCTTTTATATTAATTTGTTTAATTGATGCATATTTATATGAGCCGCTCTCTTATGCCATAACCATGAATTTTCTTCCTTAGCAACTAAGCATGTTATACTAGTATTAGGTACACAATCCAAATCAATCAAATAGATATTGTTATGCCTAATACCTTTCAATGCTATATTTTCAGAATTCACTAAATGTATGGTACAA